AGTCATAGTTACTCCCGCCATTTACCCGCGCTTCATTGAATTTCTTCACTTTGAAATTCAGAGCACTGGGCAGAAATCACATCGTGTCAACACCCGCAGTGGGCCTTCGCGATGCTTTGTTTTAATTAAACAGTCGGATTCCCCTGGTCCGCACCAGTTCTAAGCCGGCTGCTAGGCCCCTCCCCTACTTTCATTAGAGTAGTAGTAGACTGTTAGGTTAGGGTTAGGGTTAGTAGAATAAGTTGACTTGTACTTGTAAAGTTACTTATAATCAGTAGAATGTCTGTTGGTAGAACATCAATATAAAGTATTTGCAGATAACGTATTAAAAAAGTGGTGTGTTGTCTGCTGACTTTTCCTCCTCTCTTTGTTTTCTTCCGGGAGTTAATTCTGACCAATTGAAAAGCAGTTTAGGAAATATGTTCAGAGACACATGTGGCCAACAAGTGATGTGGATGTTGTCACGTGACTGCATTTTGGTTCGTTTTAACTGGTTCGGATCAGAGCAATCAGTGTGGTGTGGAAAGGAACCAAAATGTCTGAAAAATGCTACAATGTATAATTTTTTGCCCTTGGTTCAGAGCAAATGAACCAAACTACAGATGTACAAGCACCCTAAGATGTTTGGTTACAATGCAAGATACTGTTTGTTGAGTTTAACATATATTAGTGATGAAGAAAATTCTCAACTTGAGACCAAATATGATTCACCATTATGAAACAGACCCACGTTCGACCAGCTTTTACTGTTTCATGTTTTATCAAGCCATAAAGCAAGGCAGATATTAAGCAGACAGTTTGCTAATACTCTGATAGTTGACATGCAGTTGCAAAGTTACGTATAGTTAGTAAAATGTCAAACGTGAACTATCAAAATAAAGTGTTACTACTCAGTCGATCCAATATTAATATGTTTTAATGTACTAAATTGCAACTTCATCCTTATAAATGTGTAACTACACACTGACATGCAAGTTTCAATAGAAATTACAATGTTTTTTAGTTTACATTAAATGCTTGTCAGTATATTTGGCAATATAAAGCTATATTTCAAAGACAATAGACGTAATTATGAATTTATATATAAATCCTGTATGTTATTAAAGGTGCAGTAGGAGATCTTGGAAAATGCTAACTTTAGCCTGATAGCACTGAAAGAGAATGTCCCACCCTCCCTGCAATCGCCGTCCAAAGCCACGGCCCCTGAACACATGAACGCACACAGACCAGACGACCAGAGACAACATTACTACAATACATCATATGTTATTAACCGGTGAGAAAACTTTATAGTACAGTTAGTAAAATTACTACAATACCAGGAAGGAAGTTCAGGTTGTTGATGTTTGCCTGCCATTCTTGCTCTGTCTGCACAGCGTGCGTGTACGTGCTGATGACGTATCCTTTCTGCACGAACAGGGTGCGCAGAGGTATGTAAATACATATGTTGACAGGCAGGTAGGAAAGCCAATCAAAACGCTCAGACTGAGCATTTTGATTGGACGAACATTTCTTGGTCCTACTCCTTCCACAGAATATATAAATACATATAAATAGATTTAGACCACTTAACCCTCTCCCGCACGCATTATGATAGACCTATAGAAAAAAATATTTGAATCTTTTTCTTTTCTAAGAATGGCTTAACTTGAAGAAAATTGGAATTGTTTTTTTTTATTTTAAGGTACTTTATGATATGTTGCCATACGGCAACAGCATACAATAGTGGATCTAACTTAGAATAAGTGTAAGCTTACTTATAATTAATATTTTTCCTCAGAAATGTTGTTTGTGTTGATATAATTGGTGCTATTATAAGCTTTAACACAGTACTTATAATTGACACCTTATACATACTTTCCGACAACTTGTGCTTTTATTTATTCCATTCTTTTTTGCTGAATAATTATTTATATATTTTTAATTTCCTTACATTTTTTCATGAATATTATTTAAACTGCAAATTTATACAGTTAAAACAAATATAATATTGTATATAATCTATCATAAAACATTGACATAAAACCAAAAACATTGCAGTTCATGAAAATTCAGCATTACGCAATCTTATGAGAGGAAGACTATGAACATTATCACTTTTTTGAGAGGTGAATATGTTATCATAACATCATAGCAGTGTTTTTTTTTTGTAGAAGTGACATGGACTGGTCCTTGTTTGTTACTGACAATTTAGTTTGCTTTCAGCAACTACCGACAAGAGAAGGCAGTCTGTCAGAAATCTCGCCACAGAAAAAAAAACTGCGTGTCATGTGACTTAATCAAAGCACATCATTGGTTAAACTAAGGTCTTCTCTTTCCAACAAAAAAAAACTAGAATGTTCTCTTAAAGAGACAGTGGCAAGGAAATGAACACAAAGAGTGTGTTGCCATATGGCCACACCATGCGGTAGAGGGTTAACTTACTGATTGCTACTGGGATGTGAAGAGACTTTCAACCAGCATAACAAAAAATGTTTCTGAAGACAATCACCTATTGCACCTTTAAGTCATACTTTAGTGGGCCAAAGCTCAACTAATTATATTTAATCTAAATATATTGAAGTATCTACTTATGTGGCACTATATAACTTTGGTTAGGATGCTGCAGTATTCAGAAGGAGAGTTTACATGCATTATCTTAGACCGAAATTAGATTTTTCCACCTTAAAAGCAAACAAATAGCAGTCATTGAGCTCAGCAGGGTTAAATAAAAGTTTGTCACTGGTGTAATAATCATAACTCTTCATTCATTCACCAGCGAGTTATTGGGTAATAAGAATGAAGGTTGTCTGTAGCCAGTTGTCTTTGTATCTTCTCCTGTTTGTTCGTTTTATAGGCATAGCTTTTGATAGATGTTTCCACAGTGACTATATCCCGATCATGAATTGTTAAACTAATTTCTCCAAACTGTGAGAGATTGTCCCTGGTCTTTCTGTTTCGGCTGCATGCGATGCTGAATAGTCTCGTAATTTCAATTCTGATGCAGACGGAGACTAACTTGAAAGAATAGGATAATTCATCTCTGGTAATTTTGTTTGCTAGTAATGACTGCATTAGACGGTAATAGTATTTACATACGGTATGAGCCCGAGTGCTTGAATTATGACATCTGTTAAAAGTTTAATATTCCCAATATCACACCTCTTGAATTATTTGTTCTTCAAAAGCCGCAGACAATATGATACTAAATAATTGCCCAATGCATGTCTTCAACCCACACTTGACAGTTCACATAAAGCAAATCAACATTTATTTGATATATACATATAATACAAACATCATATTCTAAAAATTACGATTTAACAAATGCACATGACTCCACTATCATTTTGCACTGACTCACACTGATAAATATTTTACATCTAAAGAAATGTAATATATATGATTAAATCATAATTATATTGTCTGTCAGTCTAAGCACCAAACACCCGTCTAGCAACCTGCCAGAACACCTTAGCAACAGTCTAGCTAGGCTGATCTCTCTTCAAATGCGAAAGTGTTCAAACTACACAAGATTTATATAACTTTAAAACATCAAACTAAACGTCAAACAGTCTTAAACTTACAGACAATGCTTTGTCAAGGCCTGTCTGACAAAGTTTCCTTTTGTAGTTCCTTTAGTTTTATTCAACTTCTACTGAGGTTGTGTGTATTTGGCTATAATGTTTGACAATGTCCTCACTAATATTGTGAAACATGTCAAAAACCAACTTGTGAAGACATTTGAAGTAGTCTGCTAAATGACTACATATTGGTTACATAACTACACTTTTGCTCTCTAAATCAGCCTAAAAAGTCTGGATTCTGCTCTGGAAACAATTATGTAAGAGGTAATGCCTCTTGAAGAGAAGGACCAACGTAAAGAACTACTCTTTGAGCCCTTTATTCTTCACCTTAAATGTCCTTCTCCTTGAATTACTTAATGATCACTAGTCACCCTTTCACCAACAGCTTATATGTTGCATTGAACTGGTCAGTCAAGGCTTGAACAGAAGTCTAGACATGAAGGGTGCTTTCACACCTGCCTCGTTTAGTTCAGTTGAATCGATCATTGTCCTCTTGGAGCTGTTCATTTGAGCAGGTGTGAATGCAGCAATGAACTCGGGTGTGCAGCAAAAGCAGACCAAACAAGGATACCAAGACCTCCTTGAAGAGGTGCTCAATGCTTTAAAACGAACACTGAAGCGGTTCGTTTGTGGTGAGAACGTGAGAACGATTCGACCTCGAACAGACCCTGCTTTCACACCTGCCTCGTTTAGTTCAGTTGAATCGATCATTGTCCTCTTGGAGCTGTTCATTTGGGCAGGTGTGAATGCAGCAATGAACTCGGGTGTGCAGCAAAAGCAGACCAAACAAGGATACCAAGACCTCCTTGAAGAGGTGCTCAATGCTTTCAAACGAACACTGAAGCGGTTCGTTTGTGGTGAGAACGATTCGACCTCGAACAGACCCAACTGCAAAAAGTACTGCAAATTTTTTTGGACTAAACCAGCTGCCATAGTCAGCAGCGCTGTGCATTATGGGATAAGGATAAGTGTTTGTTGACCATCCGCACTTTAGCAACATAGCCCCATGGTAGCTCACAGACAAACTTGGAGTTGTGAGGAGGTGCGGAGCCTCATAGAAATTTGGTCTGATGACCGTATTAAAAAAGCGGTGTTGTCTGCTGGCTTTTCCTCCTCTCTTTGTTTTCTTTCGGGAGTTAATTCTGACCAATTGAAACGCAGTTTAGGAAATATGTTCAGAGACACATGTGGCCAACAAGTGATGTGGATGTTGTCACGTGATTGCATTTTGGTTCGTTTTAACTGGTTCGGACCAGAGCAATCAGTGTGGTGTGGAAAGGAATCAAAATGTCTGAAAAATGCTACAATGTATAATTTTTTGCCCTTGGTTCAGAGCAAATGAACCAAACTACAGATGTACAAGCACCTTAAGATGTTTGTTTACAATGCAAGATACAGTTTGTTGAGTTTAACATATATTAGTCATGAAGAAGTTTCTCAACTTGAGACCAAATATGATTCACGATTATGAAAGAGACCCACGTTCGACCAGCTTTTACTGTTTCATGTTTTATCAAACCATAAAGCAAGGCCATTTCTCCATATAAAATATATA